GCACACCTTTCCTGACTTTAAACCATGCAGTATCACCTCGTTCTGTTTGAACAACTGCTTCTTGATCCATGTACAGGTTCCTCGTGCGCACAATTAAGTGTTGTGGAATTCCCATTCTTCATAATGTTATCCGTAATTTGTTACGATCCACACAGTCGAATGCCTTTGCATAGTCAGTAAAACACAGGTAAACATCCTTCTGGTATTCTCTGCTTTCAGCCAGGATCCATCTGACATTAGCAATGATATCCTTGGTTCCACGTCCTCTTCTGAATAAGCCTGAATTTCTGGCAGTTCCCTGTCGATATACTGCTGCAGCCGCTTTTGAATGATCTTCAGAAAAATTTACTTGCGTGTGATACTAATGATATTGTTTGATAATTTCCGCATTTGGTTGGATCACCTTTCTTGGGAATAGGCATAAACATGGATCTCTTCCAGTTGGTTGGTCAGGTAGCTGTCTTCTAAATTTCTTGGCGTAGATGAGTGAGCACTTCCAACACTGCATCTGTTTGTTGAAACATCTCAATTGGTATTCCGTCAATTCCTAGAGGCTTATTTTTGCCAATGCCTTCAGTGCATCTTGAACCTCTTCCTTCAGTACCATAGGTTCCTAATCATATACTACCTCTTGAAATGGTTGAACGTCCACCAATTCTTTTTGGTACAGTGACTCTGTGTATTCCTTCCATCTTCTCTTGATGCTTCCTGCGTCATTTAATATTTTCCTGTACAATCCTTCAATATTGCAACTCAAGGCTTGAATTTTTTCTTCAGTTCTTTCAGCTTGAGAAAGGCCGAGCTTGTTCTTCCCTTTTGGTTTTCTATCTCCAGTCTTCGCATAGGTCATTATAATATTTTACTTTGTCTTCTGGAGCCACTCTTTGAAATCTGTTCAGCTCTTTTACTTCATCATTTCTTCCTTTTGCTTTAGCTACTTGACGTTCAAGAGCAAGTTTCAGAGTCTCTTCTGACATCCATTTTGGTCTTTTCTTTCTTTCCTGTCTTTTTAATGACCTCTTGCTTTCTTCATCTATGATGCCCTTGATATCATTCTACAATTCATCTGATCTTTGGTCATTAGTGTTCAACGTGTCAAATCTATTCTTGAGATGGTCTCTAAATTCAGGTGGGATATGCTCAAGGTCGTACTTTGGCTGTCATGGACTTGTTCTAATTTTATTCAGCTTCAACTTGAACTTGCATATGAGCAATTGATGGTCTGTTCCATAGTCAGCCCCTGGCCTTGTTCTAACTGATGATATCGAGCTTTTCTATCGTCTCTTTCCACAGACGTAGTCAATTTGTTTCCTGCGTATTCCTTCTGGCGAGGTCCACATGTATAGTTGCCGTTTATGTTGTTGAAAAAAGGTATTTGCAATGAAGAAGTCATTGGTCTTGCAAAATTCTATCATTTGATCTCTGGCATTGTTTCTATCACCAAGGCCATATTTTCCAACTACCAATCCTTCTTCTTTGTTTCCAACTTTCATATTCCAATCATCAGTAATTATCAATGCATCCTGACTGCATGTTGAATCAACTTCAGACTGTAGAAGTTGGTAAAAATCTTCAATTTCTTCAGGTTTGGCCTCAGTGGTTGGTGCATAAATTTGAATAACAGTCATATTAACTGGTCTTCCTTGTAGGCGTATGGATATTATCCTGTCACTGACAGTGCTGTACTTCAGGATAGATCCTGAAATGTTCTTTTTGACAATGAATGCAATGCCATTCCTCTTAAGCGGTCATTCCCAGCACAGTAGACCATATGACTGTCCAATTCCAAATGACCAATACTAGTCCATTTCAGCTCACTAATGCCTAGGATACCGATGTTTATGCGTTCCATTTCATTTTTGATGATTTCCAATTTTCCTAGATTCATATTTCGTACATTCTACATTCTGATTATTAACGGATGTTTGCATCCATTTCTTCTCATTTTAAGTCGTGCCACATCAGTAAATGAAGGTCCCAAAAGCTTGATTCCTCATTAAGGTCAGCTCTACTTTGAGGCGGCAGCTCTTCCCCAGTTGCCTTTTGAGTGCCTTCCAACCTGAGGGGCTCATCTTCCAGCAGTACATCAGACAATATTCTTCTGCTATTCATAAGATTTTCATTGACTAATTCTCTTCAGAAGTAGACCGCTGGGTCTTTCTTCCTAGTCTGTCTTAGTCTGGAAGCTCAGTTGAAACCTGTCGGCCATGTGTGACCCTGCTGGTATTTGAATACCGGTGGTGTATCTTCCAGCATCACAGCAACATGAAAGCCCCCACAGTATGCACACTGACAAACGCATATGGAGCATAATACCAAAAAAAACCACAAAAAAAAACCAAACCCGTTGCCATCGAGTCGATTCTGACTCATGGCGACCCTACAGGACAGAGTAGAACTGCCCCGTACGGTTTCCAAGGAGCACCTGGTGGATTAGAACTGCCAACCTTTCAGTTAGCAGCTGTAGCTCTTAACCACTACACCACCAGGGTTAGCAGTGGATAATTAGTTCCTATTAATGTGAACAAGGTCTCACAACCCACGCCACCCACCAAATCCTCTCATAAGCACCATCTGAGCACAGGGACAAAAGCCACAGGAACTCCGTCCTCCAGCACATCCGTTTCCACTTGCCCCAACACGGCTTTATTCCTTAACCTCATCCACTGAGATTGGGTGGCCCTGCATGGAAATGTCATCTTGACTCTAAGTCAAAAAAATGTAGGTGAGGAGTATGGAAATTAAATGAGGTGACGCACATACAGTGTCAGGCAAACGCCCAAAGGCCACCTCAGTGTCCACAGGCGCAGGGGTCCGCCAGCTCTGATGGTCACCTGACCCCATCCGTGAGCCATGGAGACCAGCTACCTTTTTCTCTTTGTTTTTCTCAGTTTGGTTTCCCTGGACCAAAGCCACACCTCAAACATCAACCCAAGACCCTTCACCTCAAACATCAACCCGAGCCCCTCCACCTCAAAGATCAACCCAAGACCCTCCACCTCAAACCTGAGACCCTTCACCGCAGACATCAACCCGAAACCCTCCACCTCAAACATCAACCCAAGACCCTCCAAACATCAACCCAAGACCCTTCACCTCAAACGTCATCCCAAGACCCTTCACCTCAAACCTGAGACCCTCCACCTCAAACATCAACCCAAGACCCTCCACCTCAAACATCAACCCAAGACCCTCTGCCTCAAACATCAACCCAGGACCCTTCACCTCAAACATAAACCCAAGACCCTCCACCTCAAATCTGAGACCCTTCAACTCAAATGTCAACCCAAGACCCTCCACCTCAAACATCAACCCAGGACACTTCGCCTCAAACATCAACCCAGGACTCTTCACCTCAAATATCAACCCAAGACCCTTTACCTCAAACATCAACCCAGGACCCTTCACCTCAAACATCAACCCAGGACTCTTCACCTCAAACATCAACCCAAGACCCTTCACCTCTAACTTCAACCCAGGACCCTCCACCTCAAATGTCAACCCAAGACCCTTCACCTCAAACCTGAGGCTCTTCATCTCAGACATCAACTTTCTGTGTAGAATGACCAGGGCACATGTGACTAGGACTGCCTGCACTTGGTGGGAGGGAGGAGTGAGGCTGCAGAGGCCGTCTCCCCTGCCTGGGGCTGCAGAGGACACTGAACACGTCTTCCCGACTATCCCCAGTGTCCACCAGGCATCCTCTGTGAGGACAGCAGGCATCAGGAGGCGCTGAGCAGGCACGGGCATTCAATGGGAAGTGAGCACAGATGCAGCGTTGGGGGGACGCTCACCAGCCGCACGGCAAGGTTGCGCAGGTCCAGGCCGTACTTGGCCACCACGGGCCGCAGCACCTCCGTGACGGGCTTGGTGGGCTTGGCCTTTAGTCCCACTGACCGGTTAATGGGGACAAGATCCAGCCTGTGGTGGGGAGTGGGAGGAGAGACAAAATAGTCACTGCAAATACAGGTTGATCTCATGTTAGTCTCAGTCCCCAGATCCTGCGACGGCACTCGGGCTACATCCAGCCACAACTTCTGTGTGTTAGAGGCCTCCTTCTAGGTGAGGAGGAGCCTGGAAGTGACTGTTCTAATGTTCACAATGAGGCTGAGTAAGGGACAGACGGACGACTGGTGCAGAGCAGGACTCAACCTGCACGAGACACCAGTGCCCGTGAGCTGGCTGAGACCCTCCTCAGCGTCCAGGTGAGATGAGAGCCGCTGCCTCCCCTCCCCTCCCCAGGCCTGGGGGTGGCTGCTCCACAGGGCGGCCACAGGACCAGGGCCACCCTCTGCCGGGGGCAGGAAGGAAAGTGATTCCCTGTCTCCTGGGCTTCCCGGGAACCGCCTGGGGGCCCCCTCAGTTCCTCCCTCCCTGGTTGCCAAGCTCCTGGTTGGGGTGGACGCCTGCCGACACGCCTTCATTCACCAATCATGTAGCAGCTGCACATCGACTTGGTGAGGGCACGAGAGCCCCGCACGAGTGGAGACCCTGGGAAGTCTCGAGAAACCAAGTGCCACAAGGCTCTGGGCGCCTCTGCCAGGGCAAGTGCCACTCTCTTACCGGAACAGCGTGCGCTTCTCCAGGCGCAGGTCCCTGGACTCCAGGATGCTGCTGTCTTGCTGCAGCACTAGAGGCTGCAGACACAGAAGGAACAGAGACAGCACGGTCAGCGGGGCAGGAGCATCTCCCCAAGCGTGCAACAATGCGTGCGGGTGGGCAGCCTCCACACTGGCCCAACAGAGACCGCCTGGCAGCCCAGCCTAGTGCTCGCTCCAGCCAACATCAATGCACCATTGAGGGGCACACAGGACGGAGCCGAGCGTTAGGGCCTGACAAAGCCGGGGGGAGATGACAGGCAGCTCTACTTTGTAAGAAGTCCACTCACCAGGTCTCCCACAGAGACAAGAAATCATTCCAGAATGAGTGGGTGCACGTACCTTATCTCCACCGACCAGGAAGAGGTCCACGGCTGCGCCATTGATGCCGTGCCGCTCACAGAGCCCAGCCAGGGCCTCTTTGATGGAGGTGCCCACCCTGACGGGCACTGTGCAGGCTGTGCCATCGGGGAGGTGGACGCGGCAGTGCTTGGCCTTCTCCTGCTCAGGTGCTGGGGACCTGCAGGCCTCCGCCTGGGGCAGGAGACAAGCGGGTGAGGATCCAGCTCAGAGCGTCAGGGACCCAGCCATGGAATCACTGCCCCACACGCATCCATGATCACGAGCCCCCTGCCCACCCACGACGTAGCACCCAACCCCCACATCCACCCACGACACCCCATCCCACGATGCCCCACCCCCCAGCCCATCCACAACGCAGCACCCTATCCCCCACTCACGACGCAGCGCCGTAAACCCATGCCCACCCACGACACCCCCTCCCTCACACCCATCCACGATGCCTCGTCCTCCATGCTCACCCACAATGCAGCACCCTGTCCCCCATGTCCAACCACGATGCCCCATCCCCCACACCCACCCACGAAGCAGTGCCCCATCCCCCATGCCCGCCCACAACGCCCCGCTCCCACGCCCACTGACAATGCCCCACCCCCATGCCCCCCACGACGCCCCGCTCCCACGCCCACTGACAATGCCCCACTCCCA